GTTATAAAATCTCCACGGATTCAGTGCTTATATTCACCAGAACTTAGGAGATAGCAGAAATGAAACACCATGGAGGGCGGGGAGAGGTTAAATAAAGCAAGATACTTTTTTTTTGGAACTTTTATGAAGTTAATAACACAAAATTCAAAAAGGATAGGAAATGATGCATAGAATTTCAGGTGATCTTTAACTTTCTTCTTAACAATTTTATTTATTTTTCAATAATGAGTATTCTTTAAATAATCACTTAAGATAAAACTATTCCAATTGACAAAAAAAAAAAAAAAAAAAAAAAAAAAAGGGGGGCAAGCCTTGGAAAGCAACAATTTCCCAAGAAAGAACTCTTCTGTTTTAGTCACAGCAGTTCTGAACTGACCTGAGAGAGAATCATGGATCGGCTGCCTCCCGCACATCCCTACTGGGAATTGAGCCCACAACCCACACATGCGCCCTGACTGGGACTTGAGCAGTGACCTCTCGGTTCATAGATAGTCATTCAACCACTAAGCTATGCCAGTCAGGCAAAGACTGTATCTTTTCTATTGTGAAAAAAATAGCTTGGCCCTCCAGAACTACTCCTTTTTGCCCCTTGAAGTACAGATACAGGAAGCTGCTCGGAGGCTGAAAATTGGATTTGCAGCGTTCACATCCCTAAGGTTTGCAGATCGATACTATAAAACTCCTGGCTACCAGTCTTTTCAATTCCTGCTTCTTCTCTAATTTATCAGAGTGCAGTGTTCTCTTCTCCGGCAATAGCAACGCAGTGGATCATCATAGTTCATTTTCAAAGTTTGAGTGAGTCTGGGGTTGAGTTCAGGAATATCCCTGCATCCACAATATTAAGATAGAGTCTCTTTCCTGAAGACAAGCAAATAAAAATATTTGCCAAAAAACGTGAGGGGGAAAAATATTTGCCATTAAAAGCCAAAAAATTAAACAAAATATCACCGATAGGACCCATCTGAATGAGGTGCTTTTTTTGAAGGAAAATAGAAGTTGGAGCATAATTTCTAACAAGTTTTTTTTTTTACTTCATGACCTCTGTTCTAAAAATGTGATTTAATCTTCTTTGAGATAAATCTTGTAGTTTATATTTTTAAAGCCTATCTTACTGAGAATTTCTAATTCATTGGCATACAATTATTATGCTTAGTAGTTTTTTAATTTTAAGATATCATCTCAATGTTATAACTCCTTACAATTTCTAGTTTTGTTTGGGTCCTACCTAAATTATGTTCTTTCCAGTGTTATGTTAATTTGTTTTTACAAAGGAACCCGTTAGAATAACGAAATGGGATTGGTAGAAGAACTTGAAAGCATCAAAATTAAGAGATCCAATGTCAAATAAGAAAACACATCATCAAATAAATGCAAAAGAACCTTCAATAAAATTCTACACAAATATAGATAAAATTCTGGAAGAAAAAAATAAAAGTCAATAATGCTTATCATCGATGACAGGGTTAAACATAGTTTTAATTTCTTCTTTTTGCTTTTTTTAAATAAAATATGAATATAAATATGAATTTTTCAATAGTAAGGATTTATAAACCAGATTGTAGAAAGCTGGGAGAAACTAGACGTGCATATTTATTCAACCTCGGAAGGCCATGGGCAGACAGGAGGCTTGCATCAAGATACAGGAACCAGTTGCTGCACACAGCCTTTGTGTCTGGTCTGTTTACATATTAATTATTCAACAGAATTGGTTTAAGTCTTGTTTTCATTATAATATAACCCTCACTGACCTTCTTACTGATGAGGCCAAATGGTCAGATTGGCTTAGGTCAATCTATAATAATATTGGCATAAAACGTTAAGTGAAAAATATCAGGTTACAACCTATATATAATTAGAGTCAATTGTGTACATATAAAATATACACAATTAATATAAGATGGTATCAGTTATAATATGCATTTTATATGCCACTAGAAGAAAAACTGTCCTTTTTTTATGTTAGAATTTTGTTTTGACTTATACAGATTTCATCATGTATCATGCTGCTGGTTCCATGTCTTTGTATACATGCCTTTTAATACCAAACCATGGTGAAATAATTTTGGAAGCAATTAACTCATGTTGTGCCAGCGAAGTGCATAACTATTCTGAAGTGAGAATAATATAAACCATGCGACCAAGGTCACACATGCTTAGGTAATAACAGCTACATCATGACTTCTGCCAGGTTGCACAGTGTAGAAGATCTCAATTTCACAGATATAAAAATAAAGGGGAAAAAAATGTGCTTTAGAATTAATAAAATATACTAATGTGTGTTTTTTTGTTTGTTATTTAAATATATTTTTATTGATTTCAGAAAGGAAGGGAGAGGGAGAGAGAGAAAGACAGAAACATCAGTGATGAGATTGAATCATTGATAGACTGCCTCCTGCATGCCCCTTACTAGGGATCAAGTCTGAAACCTGGGCATGTGCCCTGACCAGAACGGAACCCAGACCTCCTGGTTCATAGGTCAATGCTCAACCACTGAGGCAAACTGGCCAGGCTGGTTGGTTGATTTTTAATGACTTTCATTTGAATAGTCTACCTTAATGGCTAAGGGCAAGATTTCATTGGCTTCCTCTCCAGGCTATTTCTGGTGCTCTGACCAAGGAGCCCTTCTGAAGAGAGCCCTTGCTGCCTCAGTTCCACTTATGAGTTTTGATGGCTACTGTACCTTCTTTCTGCACAAACATTCTGGGGTTAATAAGTTTTTATCTACCTAAGTTAACCACCACAAAGAGCAGCCATCATAGGAACACCACCCAGCATTCTAGAAACCTGGGTATACACAGGCTGTGGCACTGCTATGCACTCACATGCCTCAATAATCCTCTATATATCTAAAAGGCTAAGTGACCATCCGACTGCCCATCTGACCATCCAACTGACCGACCGGCCAGTACATACAACGCATACTGGCAATTTAAAAATAAATGTTGACTTGCGCATGGGCGATGCATATAAAGTTCTCACTGGCGCCAATCACACACATGTGTTTTGATCTGTCATTGTCAATCATGAATTTGGTTGACACTTCTATTATAGAGAAAGGGCAAATAACAATATTAAAATATATTTTCTAATTAATTTCCTTTTAATGTGCATGAGTCCATGCTCCAGGCCACTAGTTAGCTATAAGCCAGTTTACTTGTTGCCTATATCATTCCTGGGGATCAAATCCACAACCCAGGCATGTGCCCTTGATCAGATTTGAACCCAGGACCCTACAGTCTGTAGGCCAATGCTCTATTCACTGAGCAAAACTGGCTAGGGCAATAAAATATTTTAATATTTTAACATAACATTATTTATAGGGGGCGAGATTATGAGTGATTTATTTTCTTAACACTTTGTTATTTTTCATTTTATTCCAATCAATATATATTATATGACAGTTAGGAAAAAAATGTTTGTTTGGTCGTTTTAACTCTCTTTTCTTCTTAGGCAACGTTAACTGACTCTTCCCTAGTCTGGTCATAATCTGTAGGACTAAGTTCAATATAGCTACACCAGTATGTTGACCAACCACAAGGTTTTCTACCAGGATTAGGTTTGTGGATTTGTTTATTTGGTTTTAGGTAGGGAAGCAGAGTGGAATGAATACAACTGAGGAGGAAGAAAGTACAAAATAAATAGTTAAATAAAACTTGGGGTACTTTACAATTTCGCATTGGAGCAGTCTTTTTTTAAATCTTTAATTATGGCTGGGCCAAGCCTAACTGTCTATAGACACATTTTTTTAAATATATTTTATTGATTTTTTACAGAGAGGAAGGGAGAGGAATAGAAAGTTAGAAACATCGATGAGAGAGGGACATCGATCAGCTGCCTCCTGCACACCTCCTACTGGGGATGTGCCTGCAACCACGGTACATGCCCTTGACTGGAATTGAACCGGGGACCGTTCAGTCTGCAGGCTGACGCTCTATGCACTGAGCCAAACCAGTCTTGGCTATAGACACATTTTATGACCTACAAATCACAACCTAAAGAGAATACTAAAGACTATTGGGTAACCCAGGAATGGGGGGGCAAAGAGGGTATTATTTTGGCATCCATTTATTTGATCACTTAGTGTTTCTTCAGAGAATACAGTGGGATACATGTAAGAGTGGGGAAAGATTGAGAGAGAGGGTATTAAAGTGTGACGTGAGAAAGTAGATTAATATATTTTAATTGACTAAGGGTTCTGATTAAACTTGTTCCAATTCCTTGATATTGTTCTATTAAGGATTAATCTGAACTGAGGTCAGATCCTTTATGCTAGATCCTGTACTCTTGCTGTATTCCATGAGAGGATAACTCAAAGGCCACCTGAAAAAGCAGCCCTCCTACACACATCCTTCCTCCCACCCCCATCAACACAGGTTCCAAGAAAGGAGGTTTTGCCTGAAAAAGGAAGATGGAGAGAAGGAAACCATCTGCCATTTTGTAAGACTAGACAATCACATCTCTTCCCTATTACACCCAGTATCTGTTCTCAGCAACAGAATCCTCCCTCAACCCAGAAGTCACCTTGACCAGGAATCTCATTGGAAAACTCTGTCACCCGATCCCCCACTTAATCTATGTATATATCCCAGCACTTTTCCTTTGAATTTCTATTTCATGCTTTTAACTGACACAATTATCACTGAACATTTCCCCAAAAAAGACACACATGGAACACGTTCTTGGCTGTTATCAGGATGTTATCATAAAACAATATGTTCAAAAATTATCTATAGGAATGAATTGAGTATTTTTTTAGCCCAGAACTAATACAGTTTTTAAAAAATTACTTGGGGAAACATAATTAAAACCCAGACTTGGAAACCAGGAGCCAACTAGTTTTAAAAGGCTTCATGCAAATAAACCAGACAGTGGCACTGTGTGTTGTTTTTCAAAAGCCTCAGCTCAATAATGAGCAAAGCCTTTCTCCCCACTTCAGTCACATGGGTCTCAAGTCTAAGAAAGGGCCACTTAAACCTGAAGCCCAATGCTTAGGAACTTACGTAGAGAGGTACTTCGCTGCAGCTCAGCTCCATGGCTTCCACATCTGCAAACAAGAAGAAAAGCGTTTATTGCAGGAGTCCTCATTTAGCCAACCAACAGAGCTGTGTCCTGGCCTTCAGGCATCAATATTGCCGAAGGAGGAGTGACTGACTCATTAGACAGAAAAATTTCAGACACAAAATTATAAAAATACAGAAAAAAGATTTTACCTGTATAAAACAGAACCTCTTTTTTATTTTGTATTAATTTCCACACATAAGGAAATCTATCGCCCTTGACATTATCCCACTGACTGCTCCCAAAATGTAAATTATATTTCAGAAAGACAATAAAAGTCAAAATAAGCAGGTTGAAAGTTTCACCTTAATTAATCGCTTGGATCACAGGTTTCTCTGAGGTCAGAATCCACTTTTGGCGGAACAAGGCAAATCTGAGAGAGGGCCAGACATTTCAGTCTGGGGGAATGCAGGCCCTTGTCATGCTAACCCACTTCTTCACCAACTGTATGCATTTCATCTGCCTCTCAGTGTGCCTGCCCTTGACACCCACACCCAGAAACCAGCTTCCAGCTTAGAAGAAAAGGAGCCAGCATCATTCAAAAGGGGTTAACTGAAGGGAGTCAAATAGGTACAAACTTCCAGTTATTGTATAAAATAAGTTATGGGGATGTGATGTATAGCATAGAGACTATCTATAATAATAAAAGCGTAATATGCAAATTGACCAAACTACAGAACGGCAGGACAAACATCCGGACAACCTTCCAGAAGACCATGCTATGACACACGCCGGAGCCAGGCCAGACAAGGTGGGTGCGATGCGATTAGTCAGGGGCTCCCGCCATTGCCCCAATCACCCCAGGTCATCCTCTGCACAACGATCCATCACCTCAAAGAGGAAGTCTCAAGCTACCTAACTGGCAGTCCTGGGAGGAGTGACCTCCCTCTGTGGGGCTATCTATCTGGGGGTCTTGCGATCAATCGCCCTGCAGAGGGAGGCCCAGGCCACCAGCCAGTGATGCTGTGGTGGGTGTGTGGGGCCAGCCAGTGATCACCCTGCAGAGGGAGGCCCAGGCCAGCCAAGGGATCATACCTCAGGCCCATCACACACAGAGGGAGGCCACTGGTAGTGAGGGAGGGACAGGCAGCACTGTCTGATGGCAAGCAGTAGCGGCAGCAGCTGCTACCCAAGGGGTCCTGCATTTCAAGAGGGCGCAGGCTGGGCTGAGGGACACCACCACCATCACCCCATGTACGAATTTCATGCACCAGGCCTCTAGTAGTTAATAATGCTATATTGCATAGATAAACGTTTTTAAGAAAATAGATTGCAAAATTTCTCATTACAAGAAAAATTCTGTCACTATCTATGGTGACAGATGTTAACTAGCTTTATTGTGGTGAACACTTTGCAATATATACAAATATTAAATAATCATATTGTACACCTGAAACTAATAAGATGTTGTATTCAATTATAGATCACTTAAAACTAGATGAGTCAAACCAGTGTTTCTCAGTGATTAAGTGTCAACCTATGAGTCAGGAGGTCACAGTTTGATTCCCAGCAAGGGCACATGCCCAGGTTATGGGCTTGATCCCCAATAGGGAGTGTGCAGGAGACAGCCAATCGATGATTCTTTCTCATCATTGATGTTTCCATCTCTCCCTTCCTCGCCTTTCCTCTCTAAAATCAATAAAAATATATTTTCTTAAAAGTAGGAGTGGTGGGTTCATTGCACAGTACTATGAGACCCAGCCCTCAAGGAGCTCACAACTGAACAAAAGCCCTAAAGATTGGGAGAAGGTGAAGCGTGGGCTGCAGGAGAATTCTGAATTGGGCAGACAGGGACTCTCCCCAACATCCTCTCATCCCCGCCCCACAGAGAACAGAAGTGGGACAGGGTTCTGTTCACTAGGCCAACTCTGGCTCTGGTTCCTGGGCCACAGCCCAGCTGCACTACTTTGGGGCCTTCTCTTAAGAAGGTAGGCACACAGAAATCCAAATGGTGGCATTTGGTATAGCAATCCCCAGAGAACAAAATTGACCAGGAGGAAAACACAAAAAGTCCTGTATTATTTTTTATAAAATCCATTATCTATATACTGGCACTGGCATCCTCCTAGGTCACAAGTTACATTTCATGGGTCATCCTGAAAGAAGACTAAGGGTCTCACAAACCCAAAGGGTTGGCAATGGAACCCTTCCTTGGCACTCATTTTCAAAATGTTGTACCCTGTGTATACCCACTTACATGGGCTTATGGATGATAATCATTGATTTTTAATGAAACTAACCTCACATATTGGATGAATGGCTTAGGAAGTCCAGGAAAGAAACTTCAAATTAAATATAATACTAACAAGAATATGACAAAACTGAGACTCGTTTCTATTATGAATTGTTTGTCACTATGAAATATAAATGATGACTAACCCAAGAGCAATGACAAGTAGATCTCACCAAAATTAAAAATTATAAAGAGGGCACTTAAAATATGAATGTATACCTGCTACTACATACCATGACCCTTTACCCTAGATGTACACGCTATGCCTCAAGAGATTAACAATATTTTGCCAAAACTGGTTTGGCTCAGTGGATAGAGCATTGGTCTGCGGACTGAAAGGTCTCAGGTTCAATTCCGGTCAAGGGCATGTACATTGGTTGCAGGCACATCCCCGGTACGGGGTGTGCAGGAGGCAGCTAGTCGATGTTTCCCTCTATCAACGTTTCTCACTTTCTATCCCTCTTTTTTCCTCTCTGTGGAAAATCAATAAAATATATATTTTTTTAAAAAAGAGATTAACAATATTTTCACTTGTGTTTATAGTCAAGCCATACACAATTCCAGTCCTTCACATTTCACTCAACTTGATAAAATTATAAGAACACTGAGCATGTCTAGTTGGCAGCATAAGAAATGCATGCTAGCCCTGGCCAGTGGGGCTCAGTTGGCTGGGCATCGTCCATGTACCAAAAGGCTGCTGGTTAGATTCCCAATCAGGACACATGCCCCGGTTGTTGGCTTGACCCCTGGTTGAAGACCTGCAGGAAGCAGCTGATCAATGTTACATTTTCACACTGATGTTTCTCTCTCTCCTCCCTTTCTCTCTCTCTCTAAAAATCAATAAGCTTTTTAAAAAAATTAAAATGGTTTTAAAAAGGAGTAAAATTTTTTTTAAAAAATACTTTCTACAGTAAATGCACTGATTATAAAAAGACTGAAATAATATATAGACAAAAATAAAGCAACAAATTAACATGCATTCCTTTGTGAGCAAAACTTTGAAGACTTTCAATGTTGAAGAAGTATATTAAAACAAGTTAAGCTGTGTGGGAGGCTTACCATACACTTATTTACTATATGAAAGTATACATGTTTTTCATAACTCAACATGTGATGTTTGTTAGATTTTGTCTGATAATAAAGTACATCAAAAGGATACCACTTTTGAGGAGAAATCTGAAGACATATTCTGATGAGTGAAACCCCTGTCAAAACTTCCTAGTTGACTTATGGAGAAAAATAATTTGAAGCAAATTATCCGCTTGATAAAATAAACTTTAAGCTGAAAGATATATTTTCACTTGGATTTTCCTAAAATCAATTCCTCTGTTACAGTAAAGAGCGGTAAGTTCTGTGCTCGCCTGCAGGCCGCATGGCTGACCCACTCTGGGCCTCCTTTCACATCACCTTTAATAATTAAGCAAGTTGTATTTGCGAGGCAAGTTCCAGCTGCCTGAACTCTTCACACAGTAGCTTTTCCCTGTATAAACGTCATGCTCTCCACTTCATTTTATTCTCTAATGCTTGAGTTCTCCACCCATAATTTTAAAATTTCAAATTCAAGTACTTCTTTTTTTCCCTTTAATTGTACTGCATTTTTTTTAAAATGTTTCTTTCGGAGGTAAAAACCAAAATGGTTCCAGTTTTTCTGGCAGATGCCAGGGGAAGGTTTGAGGCCAAACTTAATTTTTAAGTTTGCTCACAAAAGGGGGGAAAAGTCTTATGAAAAGAACATCAAGATACAGTGTTTCAGACATGGAATAAATATCCCAATATCTTTGATTGCTGGTTAACTCAAAAGAAAAAGAGGCAATTCTCAACAGGCAAACATATTTACGTTAAAGAGGAAAGAAAATATAACATTCAATTTACACAGAAAAAAATCAGTTCTTGACTTTATAAAATTCTGGATTTTGCATCTAAATTAAGTATCCTAAGATTAATTCAATATATAGCCCATTACTTAAATTTTGTCTTTGAACACAAAATAATCACTGGCTTGTATGTCTTTTATAAAACTGATCAACAGGTAATGCTCAAAGAATATTTATCAAGGCTATTAGTAACTACATTAGAAAGGATAATGATCTGTCAGGCAACATGCTAAGTATTTTACAAATTTCATATCAGAGATTCACACAATAGTTCTGAGAGGATGTGTAGGAAGTTAAGCTGAGACATAAAAATTACCTAAACATAAATTTTTAAAGAAATAAACTGATCATTTACAAGATAACAAGCAACTGCCTCTCCCATTCATTCTCCACCCACCCATTCCACCCACCCTTAATGCTAGCATCTTACTCTGCAGCCATTCCTTCTGGCATATCAACAGATGTTTTTGTAGTTACTTGTTTTGACCTTCATGTGGTTATCTGATGTTGCAAATAAAATATAAATAAACTTAAAATAAAATTGGAAATATTTTTTAAAGCATAAAATATGGTTAAATAGAGTTGAGAAAAAAAAAGTACTGTTGAGTATTGGAGAGCTTCTCTAATCATGAAATATTGGATCAATGTGAATGTGTCAGGAGACCCATTAACAAGCGAAAAAGAAAAATAATGAGAAAATGGCTTAAAGATAAAAATTTCAGTATTAATACCAAAATTATTACATATTACATATTACATAATTTCAGTATTATTACATATTACATAATTTCAGTATTATTACATTTACATAACTTCAGTATTAAAGAAATAAGAGTATCTTCTCCTACCTAATAAAAATGACCCCCATAGCAATGCTTT